GATTCATAACACCTCCCATCAGAGGCAATACAAACGGAGGTAGTTTGGAACGGCCTTGTAATTAATGCCATGCTCTTCACCGCGCAGGTGTGGTCACCACGGGCCCAGCCAAAGCAGTGTTACAACTGCAGCCAGTGGGGACACACACAAGCGCCGTGTGGAAAGGCAGCCAGGTGCGGTGAGTGTGCAGGCGTTCACCAAACTAGGGACTGTCCGAAGAAATGGGTTTCTTGTGCGAACTGCGGTAAGGAATACCGTTCGTGGCAAAAAGCAGCGTGTCAGACCTACCAGGTCTGCAAGGGAAGTGTAGAGAAGGCTCGGATGGATCTGTTGTTAAGAACGGCAGAAATATGGAATGGAAAACCAATAATGGCGCCAATGCAAACAGTCAGAACGACTGATGATCAGGGATTCACTTTGGTCACCAGTAATAAGTCTGAAGGACTCAAAAGAGGGCCGGGACGACCACGTAAGGTAGTTGAAGCCCCAGGGGCACCAACCATCCCGACGACAGCATGTTATGAAACTAGGTTATGAGTGGATAGAGATTTACCTGTAATACTGGTTGATCAAGCTGGTATGCAAGCTGGTGAGCTGTTGGGGTCTATCTGTAGGTGAGTTGAGACTGTAGTAGATGAGAGTTTAGAATGATTGATTGATCATATCTACTTGCAGAGTTATTACTCTGTTATGTACATGTCTCTCTCGCTTGTCCTCACTCTACATGACCACACCAGTCCTTCTCTAACTCCGACGGAGAGTTCCTTGACTCATCTGTATCCCTCATCAATTATTTGCCACTACATCCTAGACGTATATTCATGACACAGAACCCCGGAGATACTATGTTCCCTAGTGGTGGCTCCTTGACTCAGTTGCATTATCTACTGACCATGTATCAGTCGAGTAAAGATGAAGACTCATGACATGATACTTCTGATACGAGGCACTCCTTGGCGATGGCTCCTTAACTCCGTTGTGTTGCTTGTTGTTGCGTGGTGGCAGGGCATCTATTGTGGTTATGAGCTTAGGTTAGTGTCACTATGCATGCTGACCTTGTACAAGTATGTAGATTGATGAGTTCAGGTTATGGTTGAAGGTGTATCTGAGGTTCACTGTATTTTAATTGTATTATGCTAATTGTGTGCCGAGCACTCGCTACTTATACTCATGTGCGGCCGCTAGTTGGCTCCTGACCACATGAGCTTCCTCCTGCAGATATCCCAAACAATACAGGAACTACACAAACAGTGTAAACATCTAATCACGTTAAGTACATGCAAGTATCCTAGCTGTATAACATGCCCATCACAACAGCATCCCAGGTATGAGACTTGTCGGGCACCAAGCATCTGCTGCGAGCTGACTCTTCTAGATCAGATTCATGATATTCAAAACACAGCAGCACCATCGGGGCTAACTCTTCGAACACTTCGACAACCAACGCCGAGTGAGGAGGCGCCTTCTCTCTATAATTTCTCATAACTTTAGTCTGATCGAAGGGGGAGTTAACTAATTCTGGGGAAAGTTTATAAATTTGTGGTTTAAAGGAACGTCCTCAGCATTAAGCCGGGTCGGTTCAGAGGGGCATGTTTTACTTGGTATATGAAATGGTGACGTACACTTGCGTTTGACGGCTAAGATATGATCTGATCGAGGGTGAATTTTAAGTGACTCTATGGATGTGTGTGGTCCTAATTTACAGTGAGAAAACCTCTCCTTTTATACCCCATCAACTCGTTTACCTGCTAATCATATGCCTACTATGCTTACTCAATTAGTATGCCTTGCCTCAGCAAATGTGTCTGTCAAAGCAGCATGTAGACAGCAGGGCGGAGACATGGGTCGAAGAGGTGGTATTCAGGCTAGAGGGCGCCATCCTACATTATGCATGAGATAGGTGCATAACTGCTTGGCCAAAAGGCCAGACCAGAATCATAGAACTACACAATGGTCTAGCTCTGGCACGTGTTCATCCACTCGTGTGTATTCAGTTCTGGCTAAGCAAGCAATTCACGGATGAGCCTGCGGAGGTTGGGCACATCTATAGATTATGGGAGGGGTAATGTCAGGATTGCCTTCTGCATAATCTATATATGTGGAGATAACCAGAATCTAGTGTTCTATGATTCTGGTCTGGCCTTTTGGCCGAGCAGTTATGCACCTATCTCATGCATAATGTAGGATGGCGCCCTCTAGCCTGAATACCGTCTCTTCGACCCATGTCTCCGCCCTGCTGTCTACATGCTGCTCTGACAGTGTTATTCATGTCATGTGAGTTGTGCATGCCCAAGGCATCTTGTTGACACACTCACCATCTATGCGCTACCCACCGGGGCTACCTTAGCTGAGCACAACAGGGCAGCATATCAGGTTTTGTTTGTTGAAAGCTTTTTCCCTTACCAGAGCAGCTTGCCGTCTTCATGGATCTGTATATAATAGGACCTTAAACAAAAACAATGAATGAATGAATGTTCTATTATTACTAGCCACATTCATGACAACTCATACATAGACCAGCCTCCCAATTATTTTGCATAAACAAGTGAATTGTGTCCTTCACTTAGATGTAGTTATAAGTTTAAATAGCGCTCTGATACTAAGTGGGTTTAGTCAACAACTCTCCACTATAGTTTTCAGACTCTTCAATCTCCCAACTCGCTTTAGTAGGTGATATTAAACAGAAGTCTAACAGCTTAAGCTTCTTTATACAACTTCCATTATACCAGTTATGATCAGCTTTAATAATTAGCGTTTCATAAGTATTTTATATTTGTTTATTTTCCTATTAAGTCTATGACTGTGTAAAGACATGTAGGTCCTTTCTTCCTACAGGCCGGGAGTATCAATGCCTCGGGTAGTGTACTCCCTCCTATGCCTCCTTCAAGACTTCTTTCCAGCAGGAATACCCTCCTAGATCTTCATTCAAGTACACACTAAGATGAGCCGTGATCCCGTCATTATCTACCCTCCACAGCCAGTAAAACGATGGTCAATTGCGGGTGTGTAGCCGCAGGGAAAAGTCTCAAAAAATACTGGGTGCGGTGCTCTCCTATGACGAAGAGGCCGGCCAGCCGGGCGCAGCAGACCTGTGTATAGTTAAGAACGTCTCTCAACCTTCCTAGCCTCCTCCCTAATCCTCCCCTGATTCATGCCGCAGGACAAATCGAAGAACGTGAATGGATGTCAGATAAATCTTGGTCGAGAGTGACTGTGGTGAAGGAGCCTAGCTTAGCATCCAAAAGTCTTTATGGACGTGGGGTTGTCAATTATCTCATGTTTTTCAGATGCCCTCCTGGCTAGTAGATTAGTAGGGACAATAGTATAGACGAGTCGAAATCTGCTTTTCTTGAGGGCGGAAGGGTCTTTTACTTTGCTTTCGTGGGCTTTTTGTTTGCCCGCCGGTGGGTAGCACATGTTGTGATATAACGAGGGCTTCTCTGACTACCGCTGTAGCGTTTGGTACCGCATTATCTTTCCTCATTCCCGGCATCATTATTGTCTTCTTGGTCGTATTTTGAGTTATCGGAATTGTATCTTTGACGGAGGGGGAGATAACTTAGCTCAAAGTTGATAAGTTGTTGCTCAATCTCGGCTGTGCAGACTCTACAGTGAGAGCTGGAGGTCTGTAGGTATAAGGAAATGGTTAAACTGTCCTTTGCAGCTATTGATGGTGACATGAATTAAAATGATGATTGTGATTGAGATAGATTTCTATATAGTTTATAATACATGATATGCTCAGGTTCATATACCTCGAGCCAAGCAACCAGATTATGTTCCTCCAGATCTAGATTCATCAGAATAATTACTTACTCAGTAAAATTCTCCTAGTCTCAGTTGTGTGTTTAGGATCTTGATTAGGTTTCTAGTAACTAGTCAATGATGTTTCTCATATCACTGAGGCATAGTCATAGTTGATACAACAGGTACAAACGATGAGTCGTGCCTGTACATGACGTTGTGATATAGTCATGATCGTCTGAACAATATCAACTCATGAATGAATCATGTCTCTACATGACAGTAGGGGACACCACTGATAGGTGTTGATAATAGTCCCCCTTCCCTATGTATACAGCAAGTAGAAAGAAATCTTCTTTCTTTTGTTTTCATCACTTAACTGATTTTATTTTGGACTTGCTCTGCTATATACTAACATCAATTCATTCGGCGACATACTAAGGTAGAATGATATATCTTCTGGATGAAGGCATGAAATGGCGTTGCTTCGAATCTAAGATGAGGCTAGTTTGTGAGTCCTAATTTTGGGGCTTCGGTCACTGAACGAGCTTGAGGATCTTCTCTATTACTTTCAAATAGGTGTATTGAGTGAAGACTGAATTTCCTATTATGAAGTGCTTGTTTTCATCTTTGTGGCAGAAAGTCTCTAGATGAACATAATTAGGTGCTTTCTGCACACTAATTGGTGTTATAAGATGTTTCCCGGTCTTATTGTGAAGCTAAGGGCATTTGGATTTAAAGTCAGTAGATATCTGTGAGAAATATTGAAAATCACTTTATCATACCAGTGAGTGATAATATGGGAGTCACAGCTCGTGGTGCACGTGCAAATTACCTTAATATGAACAATACCTTGGAAGACCATCACGTTACTGATTTAGTTATAGTATTTAAATGTAGCACCAATTCAATAAGTAGGCCTGCCCCTGTATTACGACTGACCTCGGGTTGACACTAGAAGACTCCCTTGAAATCTAAAAGAATTTTCGCTTTGTATTTGGACCTAAAGCTTTGCACAATGTCTAAAAGAAAAGACAAGGAGAGAAAGAGATATGTAGCCTCGCCGGGCTGAAATCTCTACCAGCTCGCTTCCGGGACCGACGCTTGCTCAACCAGACTCCATATCACGTGATACGATAAAAATATCACTTGTAAACTCATGCTGTAACACCCGGTTTCTCTCTGTGCCAGATTATTGAGAACTAAAGAACTCAAATTCTCATTCAACATATATAACATTGGCGCAATAGATCTCTCTACCTAATTGCGCAAAGCTTACTTTCCGCTATTGAGCTTCCTGTGTACCCATCTTCGAAATCTCCTATATCTGAGTTGAGGGGTATTATCCTTTCCAGAACAGCACACGCTCGGTCCTTATTGTCAACAACTAGGGTGTACTTATATTTGTTGATATCTGTAAGTATGTCTCAGTTTTTTGTGATCCAGAGTGAAAGATTTAAAACGCTTACAGTCCTGGTTACCATGCATTTCATAAAGATAATGCGTGACAGTCGATCCATCATGATACATCGCTTTAGCATTTCCCCACTGGCCCATATACAGCGCATCAAGTTCTTGACTTTGGATTTGTTGAAGTCTATTTATACCCCCGTAATAGTTGATAACACTTATCTGATCCATTAAAGTAGTGGGATCGAAGGTCTTATAATCACAATCAAACATTTTATTCTCCTCGGCTACATGTGGCGTTTTGAAGCTAGCTAGCACTGCAATAGGAAGGCTGACGCTTTGAAGAGTTAGACCAATAGTAAAAAGACGCATGGTAAGAGAAAGTGATATCTGCTGTATAATTTGTATCAAGTAGATGACGTCAGATGGTGGAATAGTACGAGGTTTGGCGGTTACTATCGACTGGATAAGCACAAGCTTATATAGATACTCACCCAGCTCATACTAATCCCCTTTGCTCGTCTCCATCAGTCAGAGTTTTCCAATAGTACTCCATCTAGATGTGGATATTTCCTCGACTGTCCATCACCACCCTTTAGCCTAGCTCCCCGAGACCCTCTTTTCTTGGCGATGCCGTCAACCTGTAGAGATTATTGCAGAATATCCATCCTTGGTGTTTTTGACTTTAAAGGAGCAAATTAGGATGTTTGATGTCATATTGTGGATGCTGCAATGTTTCATGATAATGACATGTTCGTTTGATATCATTAATTTACAGTCCCCATTGCTTCTCTCGATACGGACCCCAGTGCTCTCCGCTCAGAGGGCTTGCTCATCTCAAGACGAGCTATAATCATCATTGATACAGGCAAATGTTGAGAGAACCATTAGTATTTGTGGAAGCATATTTCTGGACTCTTCTTTAGTAAGAAGTTCACCCTCACTCACGCAACTGGATATCGTCTTCTATACAGCCTGTAAACAGAATATCATTCTTGTACTTCAATTCAATCAAGAGTGGTATGGTATTTAGAGCCGGCTGATGAGGTAAGATGTATTTTATTTCCCACTGTTCCAATCCACTGACCGGAGTCCGTGACAGCCTGAGAGTCAGGAAACCAAGAATTAATTAATACAATCAATTAATTAATTATTGCCTGCCAGTGGCTCCACTCAGGTTTCTCTAGAGAGTCTCTCGAGTAAATCAACCCTGCTTTTTGGATTTATGTAATCTGGAGGGGATTTTAAAATATTAATTTCGATTTAGTTGGCAGACAATGTCTGTCAATGTTTCTATAGTCTGAGGGTCAAGAGTGGGAATACTAGCGGAAAGGGCATCTTTTAACACCAGCTATCAAACTATGATTTGATTTTGTAGGCTACTTAATTCTTCGAACGTCAGAATAATGGTGCGTGAAGAAATCCGTTGTTGGGGCGGGAGGCATCTCTCCTGAAGGAATTTGACACTGTTCATCCATGGGGTGTATCAGATAGCTGCGTCTCTGTAGTATTACAGGTGATTAGACGCGAGTGGGTATATACTAACCTAGTAAAATGCAAGAAGTTGCACGGAGACGGAGAATCAACACCATTCAGTGCCGACCCCTACAAACCTCTGGCCCTCTACATCAAGTCCTTAGAGCTAAAGACTAGCCCCAATCTAGCCAAGTGAGCTTTTATTGTGTATCTATCTCTGGTATTCTCCACTACCCAAGACGGCACAGAGGAGTTAGCCAGGGTTAATGTGCGGCATATATCCTTGTCAAGCTTTTTCTCATTTCAGCACGACCTCCGATTCATCTTGATGCACTAGCTACGGAAGAGCAAGCTAGTAGACTATCAAGACAGGGAATTACTTCTTGATGTATACACAGGTCTACAATACCTCGCCCGCCGGCATCTATGAATGCTTCGGAAGAGTTTCTGTGTCTTTGGACCTAATCTTCATGTCAGTATCAAGAGTGCTACGCATCTGGAAGGATTCGCGAGGTTTTTCTGCTGCTGTAACTTCTGAAATTGCCAATTTTTGGCTGGTTGGGGGGGTAAATGACGAAGGGAGAAAGGATCCACCATGAGAATGATCGAATGAAGGCCTGCGGGAAGCGGCAGTTTAGGATGGAAGCCATGAAGAAAGTAGCTATGTACAACCCGAGACATACATATCCCTGGCCTACAGATAGTTTTGACATCAATGTCCAGTATAATTAAAGAATAAAAAAATAAACAAAAATCATAGTCAAGATGATCTAGATCCTTCATGATGTCGGTCTCGAAATCAAACTCTTGCTATGGTAGGTGGCAATATGAGACTAGGTCCTTTTGATATGTCATTGATCTTATGCTACAGTGTCATGGCACATGATCAGTATCATTAATACATGTTGGATGAATCTATAATTCACGGATACTAATACACTTTATTTCATTCTTAAATATAACTTTTTCTTTTTTGCATCAGGTTTTAATTGCGTATGCAGCTATCTAGCTATGACACAATATCAAAGAAAAGTTCAGAATAGATGATTCAACGTAAGGAAAGAGCACCCATGCCTCAGATTTCATTTGAAAGTACCACTGCGAAGTTATGCCGGCTTTTTCTTCACCCCAAGTCAACCCTCATCCGTGAATACCCACACAGGGGAACGTCTCAAAAACCCTGAGTTATCCAGACATGCCTCCATCATCTATCAAATTTTCTCCGCGCGAAATATGGTCTGAGATATCTCCTTCCCAAGTGGAGTAGGTGCTAAGGCTACTCAAACTATACCGGAGAACACCACCAGGAGGCGGATCACAACACCTTCCATCGTTTGCTTATTTTTATAGTGTCACCTGCACTCTCGCAAGCGAAGTCTTGGCGCGCAAAAAGCTTATTTCGTAAAACTCCTTGCCAAAATTCGGAATCTCACGTCCTTCGAGAATGTATCTCTCTTCTGCATCATCTTTTCAACTTGTCCTGATCCCTTTCACGTCCATCCCAAAGAACCATCTCCTAGATTTTTGCGCCACGCTTTGCTCCCTCCGTCGGGTATAAATATCGGCGTGGGCGTGTATTTGGTGATCGAGGCAAGAGGAAGTGGACGAGAGGTACGGTCATTGGGATGAGGATGTACTGGGTCGTGCTTGTAGGCTTGACGAGACTTAGGTAGGAGTCCAACTCGATGGAAGTGAAAGATTGATATGGTGGAGTATTTTGAATCATTGCCTCGTGAGCCAACTTGTTCTGTATTGCGAAGTTTGACTGAACTTGGCTCTGGGAGAATATTTCATCCTCAGGTTCGTAGAGGACACCGCGTACAGGTGTCCAGTCATGCTCTCCTCTGGGCCTAGCTGCCGAGTAGTGTATGGATAGCTTTGATAAATATCCCAATTGAGACAGTACATGGCTGGTTCGAATTCAAGAATAATCACCAAACTTCTAGCGGTGCTCGTATGTATTCGCGATAACGTCATGCTAAGGTTATCATGGAATTTTAAAATTTCTTTTGGCTGGTACTCACAGAAGAGGGTTGACTGTTCGGCGCAAACATACACACCTCACGGTTACATTTAGGAGAGGGCAAGACTGAACACCTGTACGCGGTGTCCTCTACGAACCTGAGGATGAAATATTCTCCCAGAGCCAAGTTCAGTCAAACTTCGCAATACAGAACAAGTTGGCTCACGAGGCAATGATTCAAAATACTCCACCATATCAATCTTTCACTTCCATCGAGTTGGACTCCTACCTAAGTCTCGTCAAGCCTACAAGCACGACCCAGTACATCCTCATCCCAATGACCGTACCTCTCGTCCACTTTCTCTTGCCTCGATCACCAAATACACGCCCACGCCGATATTTATACCCGACGGAGGGAGCAAAGCGTGGCGCAAAAATCTAGGAGATGGTTCTTTGGGATGGACGTGAAAGGGATCAGGACAAGTTGAAAAGATGATGCAGAAGAGAGATACATTCTCGAAGGACGTGAGATTCCGAATTTTGGCAAGGAGTTTTACGAAATAAGCTTTTTGCGCGCCAAGACTTCGCTTGCGAGAGTGCAGGTGACACTATAAAAATAAGCAAACGATGGAAGGTGTTGTGATCCGCCTCCTGGTGGTGTTCTCCGGTATAGTTTGAGTAGCCTTAGCACCTACTCCACTTGGGAAGGAGATATCTCAGACCATATTTCGCGCGGAGAAAATTTGATAGATGATGGAGGCATGTCTGGATAACTCAGGGTTTTTGAGACGTTCCCCTGTGTGGGTATTCACGGATGAGGGTTGACTTGGGGTGAAGAAAAAGCCGGCATAACTTCGCAGTGGTACTTTCAAATGAAATCTGAGGCATGGGTGCTCTTTCCTTACGTTGAATCATCTATTCTGAACTTTTCTTTGATATTGTGTCATAGCTAGATAGCTGCATACGCAATTAAAACCTGATGCGAAAAAAAAAACTCGGCCCAGATAATGCACCGCTGAACCATCTAAACGTGACTGACTTCATAGTGTCGCCTTGTTGTAGTTATGAGCTGTCAGGTGTATGGCATGGGTTCATGTGCAGTTTTGAGTCGCAGAAACGGCAGAATAGATACTGAGTGCGTATCACTGTGGCCAATGGGTGTTGGTGAGAATCAAATGTATACTTGAAGTGTTAATGGTGATCTACGAAGGAGGAACTTGATGTGCACTCCAACGATTGATAATATCATCTGATGGATGATGTGAAGAATAATGTTGTTCGGATACATTATACACTAACTTCGATAGGTGAAGAAATTGTCAAGTACATGAACATCGTCTATGCACCACCCTCCATAACTGTTATGCTCAGCTATGTAGTATGGTGGATCTAGTAACTAGTGCATAGGTAGTTATTATGGCAGCTTGGCATTATGGTGCATAAAGGAGATCCAGTCTCTACACAACGATATTACAAGTAGTAATCTGTACAGTACGAAAGATGGGCTGTTGATATAGGACAAATGGCATGGCTGCTCAGTTGGTTGCACACTTTGGTGGGCTGCATACCTGTAACGTGATTGGTCTACAAGCGAACAAGCTAGGGGATAAGGGACGAGCTTCCCCCAATCTGTAACATAACAATCATCAGAGAAACTTCACTTCTACTTATCAATGAAAATATCTTTCCACATACTATCTTAGCTGTTTCAGCGCAAGTGTATATTCCCAAATCATATACCAATCATAATAATTACTCACCCTTTCCTAATACAGCAGTCCCTTTACATGTGCAAAGTCATAGACTGAATAGGAAAGTAAATAGATATACATAATACAGCAGTCCGTCCACCGTTCCACTATCTCCATACAATTCAATCGAGCCAGCATAATACGTCTGCACTTTGGCAGAAGAAGTCGTGTAGCGCGCAATT